GTAATAAAATTAAAGTTTGACCAAACATATTTTAATGTCATATGCTTTGATCANTTTTNCATAAAAATATTAAAACTAATGNAAATNTTATTTATTTCAATTTATTTGANGTGTAAAATTAATTTTTATTATTTGTGTAAATTATAGAATATGTGATAAATCAAATAAATTTGTCAGTGTAACAAACAAAAAATATATGTTTTTATATTAAAAAAACATGAATTTTTATTTTTGAATATTCGAATTTCGTGTTTAACGCATGTCAAAAAATCTAGTAGTAAGATGTTCTCAAATATACTTTATATTTTTTAAATAAAATCTTCCATATTAATTACCACATATTATTTGCTTATATATTCATTTAATAATTATATATTGTATAAGTGATATAAATTTAGTGGGTAATTGGACTAAAATATAGTTGGACTCTTCTAGTTATTTACATAATAGTTCATGTCATTACAATGTTTTAATAGCTTTCATTAAAAGCTTCTTAAAATCCTCTTTAGATGACATTTAGGATTTTCACCTAGTGTCTTATCTATTAATAAACAGAGGATAAGTCAAAAATTTTGAGTTTGGTTAATTTGGATCAAATACAATAGTGGTTCAGTTGGTTGGACCTTGCAGCTCAATCCAATTTTTTTTGGATTGTTCCTAAAGTTGAACCGATCGGTTTAAATTTACTATTGGTTTTAAGCTTTGAATCCATCTATCCATAAATAAATATTTTGGAAACTAATTGATAAACAGACAAAATTCAAATCTTAAATATGACTAAACACTCATTAGCAAGGAATTGTTATAACAAAAGTGGCACACTCAAGACTCAGTACATGGATTGATGCATGGTTGTGTCTGAAAAAAACTTGTCGATCAGACAATTTAGCAGATTCTATTTGTCTACATTTACAAGTTAGTTTTTTAACGAATATGATTGACGAATATTGCTAGAAATGCAAAAACACTAAAAACACCAAAATTGCTAAAGGCTCGATGGTATTAAATATAAATCATTTCTTCTGTTTTAACAAACGTTACATTGGCACATTGGTAGTAG